TTGTACTGGACCGCATTCCTTAAAATGGGGATAGACCAAAGCGAACTGCGCCCATGTAATGACCGCATAACTGGATTCAACGGACAAGCAACCATTCCCGAAGGAGAAATCACATTACCAATCGAGCTCGGGGGATCAGGAGCAAACAGACGCAGGATCATGGAAACTTTCAAAGTGGTGAAAACGGCCAGCGAGTACAACTCCATCCTCGGACGAACGGCCTTATACAAGCTAAAGGCGGCCGTATCAATCTTCCACTATTCGATCAAATTCCCAACTGAGAACGGTACGGGAGTCCACTACGGCAACCAAAGGGAAGCAAGAGAGTGCATCATGGCGATCCCGTCGTTGGAAATACACTCGGTCATGATGGCGAACGAGGAAGAGAAACCGATCGACGAACCAGTTGCAGAGCTCAAGCAGTCAGACGAGCAGGAAGTTTCGTCCGAACGGCCAGACAACAGTACGGCCAAAGGATTTACGAACGGTCGAAAGAGGATGAGAGAATAACCGGTCGAGAGCCCAAAAGAGGAAGACGAGTACCCTATGCCGACGTCATCACGCGCAAACACACTTTCACTCCCGAGAGACGGACAGGGCGAAAAAGAATTGGAGATCGATCGATCCACCCAAGAGAAGAACGATTCGTGCAAAGAGAAGGATCGAACGATAGACCGGGGACGCCGACCAGGGAAAGAACCGATCGAAGAAAAAGACGAACTGGACCCCCGAGATCAATTCAAAGGAAAGAAACCCGAACGGGCCGAACCAAGCGAAGATACAGAAATAATCTACATTGATGAACCAGCCTGCACCAAGTCACTGCGCATCAGACGCAACATGGGCGAACCCATCCGGTCCAGGTTAATTTCTTTTCTAATCAAAAAACGCAGATGTCTTCGCCTGGACGCATGAGGATATGGTGGGGATCGATCCAAACTTAGCATGCCATAGCCTTCGGGTTGACCGAACGGTAAAGCCAATCGTGCAGAAAAGTAGGAAGTTGGGACCCGAACGACAAGGAGCGCTTGAGGAGGAGTTAATAAAACTGATTGACAACAGGTTCGTTCGCGAAGCCAAGTACCCGGTTTGGGTGTCCAATCCGGTCCTGGTAAAGAAGAGCAGTGGAACGTGGCGACTATGCGTCGACTTCAGCGATCTCAATCGGGCCTGCCTCAAAGACAGTTATCCATTGCCCAACATCGACTACATGGTAGATGCGACGTCCGAACACGAACTCATGAGCTTCATGGATGCCTATTCGGGATATCACCAGATCCCGATGGACCCGAACGATGAAGAACACACATCATTCTATTCGGCCAGAGGACTCTACTGCTACACCATGATGCCATTTGGTCTCAAGAATGCCGGAGCAACCTATCAGAGGCTCGTGAATAAGATGTTTGCAAATCAAATCGGACGAACTATGGAAGTTTACGTGGATGATATGCTTGTTAAATCTGTTTTTGCGAACGATCATGTGTCACATCTTAATGAAATGTTTTCTATTTTGCGTGATTACTCCATGGTGTTAAATCCCAAAAAATGTACATTCGGGGTAGGTTCGGGTAAGTTTTTGGGATACATAGTTAGTCAAAGGGGAATCGAAGCAAACCCCGACAAGATTAAAGCAATACTCGAACTAAAACCCCCTAGGTCGATAAGAGAAACGCGAAGTCTAACGGGTAGATTAGCGGCTTTAAGTCGATTCATATCAAAGTCCACTGACAAATGTAAGCCCTTCTTCGAGGCTATTAAAAAGAATAAAAAATTCGAGTGGACGGACGAATGCCAAAACGCGCTGGACAACATCAAGGAGTCACTCGTTCGGCCCCCGGTCCTCCAAAAGCCAAACCCTGGAGAGATGTTGTATCTATATCTCGGAGTTACCCCGACCGCGATAAGCGCCGTACTCGTTCGGGAGGAGAATCTGAATCAACATCCGATATATTACACAAGCAAGGCATTACATGAAGCTGAGGTCAGTTACCCACAGATCGAGAAGTTAATCTTCGCCCTAGTGACGACTTCGAGAAAACTCAGGCCGTATTTCCTTGAATACCGGGTGACCGTCAAATTCTCCACAAGCCTGATA